TCCAGTAATCTATCTGGACTATCAGCAAAGAAAATTTCACACTGAGGTTATATCCAGGAAACCATCCCTCTGAACCTAAGTGTCTTCATTTAAAATCAGAATTTGGGGATAGAAGGCAAGCCACTTTTTAAAAACCTCCTTACTTGTCAAAACAAATTAAAGCACTAACTTTTCGTATAGAATTAGGTTTAAATTTCAAAGCAGATTCCATTATTTATATTATTCATTAATGCAATTTTTGACTCATGCRCATTGGGTTTTCTGTTTCTTATCAAAAACATCCAACATTTTTAAGCACAAATTTCAACTTTGTATATGAAAGGATTTACTAGAATTGGGAGGAAGTGATTCAATTGGTAGAAATGGAGAGAGACTGAATCAGCCGTGATTGGACTTGGGGAAGGAATGACTTAATTAGAATTTTGATGGTATATATTGAGCCTGATCAGCACATGAATTTTCACTTAGAGATTCTCTCCTGAATGGAAATCATTTCTCTGGGTCTTGTCATATCTTCATTTCAAATCAGGATTTCAGACTAGTGGAATGTAAGTTACTTTTTTCTCCTTTAAAATATAAAAAGATTAAGACAGTAACTTTTTACATAAGAACATGATTTTTTCCTGTTAAAACTTGTTCAATCATCCATCATCCATTCACTCATTTATCTTCTTATTTGGAAAATTATTACTGGGCAACTATTGGTGTCAGGCATTGCTTTAGATGCGTGGACTTTATCACTGAGCAAAACAAAGATCCTTGCCCTTGTAGAAATTATATTCAGAATGGAAAAGGTGGAGAAAGAAACAAATGTAACATAACTTAAATAGGATCATGGAAGAAAGTTCATGCTTAGTAGAAAAAGAAGAACAGAGTAAGGGAGATACATGGTATACAGGATTTTCGGAGACAGAAGGGAAGTACAGTTGTCATTTTAAACAAAATATCAGGGTTGGTTGGTTTAATTTGAGCAAAGACCAACAGGAGAAGGAAGACTATCTTGGCAGAGAAAATAGCTAGTTTGAGGGCCTCAAAGCAGAAGCAGCTGTGTGAGTTCAAGAAAAAAGTTGAAAGGCAAATGAATATGATGAGTCAAAGAGTCAAAATGACTACAGAACACCTAGGGGGGCCCTGGGCACTTTTGAATTTAACTATGAAGGTAACAATACCTCCCCACTGTCTGACTTAATATCCTTTTCTCTCAATCATATCCAATTCTATTAAATTTGCTTAACTGTTACTAATTAATGCTGCAATGTGATACTTTGTTGTTAGTTATGTTCATTTTTCTCATTGGGAAATTCAGTGTCTTTCATGTTTATTGTCTATTGTTGATTTGGAATTATTCTTCCTGAATAGCCTGTTTATATCTTTGTTAATTTTAATTGGGTTGTTTGTATTTTTATATTATGTATATTAGTGTACATATTATATTAGTATTAACAGTAGTCGTAGCAACCCTTTCTGTTATAGACATGAAATTTATCTGCTAATCTAGTAGTTAGCAATTGACTTTGTATTTGGCATATTGGCTATAAAACTAATTTTTATCATATACATGACTTTTTAAAAATCATATATTTTAAAGCTCTTAGAGGGTCTACCTTGATTAAAATGTCTTTTCAAGCACTAGGTGCTATAATTTCTTAAAATTTTTCTTTTTAGATTATTATGGTCTTTTTTCCCCTTTGGGGTATTGTTTTTGTATTAGCTTTGAAGCTAGAATTTGTCCATTACTTCCTGCCTTAAGAATAGCCAGTTTTGCAATCACAATTATTGAATACAACACCCTTTTTACACTATAAAACACTACCTCTGTCATATCTGGAGAATTTTTACAGTTAAGATATACCATACTATGTCCAAAAGCTATTAATATGATTTGAAAAGGATGGCTTTGTAGATTATGAGAAACAAGAAATAAAGCAGTCATTAAGAAGTCCAGAGGATTAGGATCCAAAGCACAAGGGGGTTTGAGGTCACCTCCTTTCTAGTTACACATGGAAAGCTGAGGATATGGGCATAGCCAAAGGCAACTTGATAGATATGCCCAGAGGTAAGATAAGGAGTCCTTGTTTAAGAGTTTCTATTTTACCAGATAAATCAAAAGATCTTCCACTCTCAAGAAAGAAGATGAGAAAGGAAAGGAAATGGAAGAGGCACATAGACATAAAGAAAGAGGGAAATGTGGGAAATGTTATTGAGTAGAAAAATAAACAATTAGAAAAATAGAGGAAGATTGTTAGGCAGAATTAAGGACCCAACTAGATTTCTGTGATAACAGGTTTAAATTAAGAATTGTAGAGATGTTATATGATTTTTTCTGGTTAACTTAGCAGATAGGGTAAATTTTAAGCTTTTACTGAATTTTCCAACTTTTAGTTTCTTTTTGTTAATATTTTCAAAACTGCTTATGTCAAAGTTTTATAGTTCAATTTTCTGATAAGTATTTTCAGATAATTTATGTATAAATTTTTTAGTATTTTTCTTATTAATACTTTTAGACCATTTTAGTTAGAATCTTAATTTTGTGAATGGACTGATTATAATGTACATTGGTATTAATAAAATCATGGCATGCTTATTAAATTAAAGTTAGCAATTAAAAGAATGGGTAGTAGGCCRTGAGTTAAATGGATTGGGGTTACTCACTCAGGGTTGATAAAGGCAGTTAGAATATAAAAAGTGTGGGTATTTTCTAAAACTGTGTCACCATCTTGTCATTGTTACTTCATTCCCCTATTTCATAGTACATGATTCATTCATTCATTCATTCAACAAATACTTACTCAGCACCTATTATGTGCCAGGCACTGTTCTATATGCAGAGGATACACCAGTGAACAAGAGAGACAAGGTTCCTGATTTCCTGGAACTTATGTTCTAATATAGGAAAATAGACAATAATAATAAAAAAATAATATTAATAATAATAATAGCTAACATTTATTTAGCAAGTACTGTTTGCTGAGACAGTTCTAAGCACTTTACAAGTATTAATTTACTTAATCCTTTCAGTAACATTATGAGGTAGGAACTAGAATTATTCCCATTTTTGCATGAGGAAATTGATGGCACAGAAAGGGAAAATGACTTGCCTAAGGTTACAAAACTAGGAAAGGGCAGAACTAGAATTTAGAACCTAGACTAGATCTTTACTCTCCATGCCTTTCCGATACAGCCTCTCGGATAAAAAACAAAGCAATACAACAAACAATAAATTCAGGAAGTGTTCAGTTTTATGAAAAGTAAAATAGGGTTATATGAGAGTGTGTGTTCATTGGAGGGGTGGGGTGTTGATGTAGATGTCAGGAAAAACCTCACCGAGGAGGTGGCATCTGAGCTGAAAGTTGAAGAATAGCAGTTGTTATATTAGGACTGAGATAACAGAAAATCTAGTGCAAAAACAAAGAATCTTTTCTTGTTTTGTGAAATAAATGCCCAGTTGGCTACGTCTTGAGCTTACTATGTAACTGACTGAATGAACCAGAAATCAGGGAGGTATGCAAGAGTCAGGCTCCATGGGGCCTCAGAACATATTCTTAATTTTTAAGTGCAATAGACTTTTATGCAGGAAAATAATGCTGTCTAATAATTTTAAAACATAACTCTTGCTGCTATATGTAAAATTGTAGCTAAAGAGAAGGCAGGAAGATCCACTAGGAAGTAATCACAATCCAAGGGGAAGATGATGGTGGCTTGCTTGGATGAGGGCAGTAGCAGTGAATTGAAATGTTGGGTAAATTTTTTAAAAACTGGTAAGATTTGCAAATGAATAGGATATGAAGAGTGAAGGAAAAGCAATTTAAGTAGGTCTTTCAGGATTCTGGATGTGAGACTGGTGAAGGAATACCTTCAAGTAAGATAAAAATGAAGATTTTTTATTTTTCCCAGAGTTTCCTGACATCTATTCCTCAACAGTTTGGTGTAGGAGCATTTGCTCTAGTATGAGAGTTAACCCGACCCCCACCCTACCCCCGTGCTGGGGTGCGCGTGGGTCAAGATTTTTATCTCGAACTTTATGGGCGAAGAGGGTTTTTTTCTTTCTTCATTTGAAAGTGTTTTGAAGAAAGAATCCATGGAGAGAGGGTTTAAGCATCCAATTACGTAAAATTTGACATTTGAAACTAAATTGGGGGAGCTGAATTTTCATTTGTTGAACAATGACTTATTGAGCATTTACTATGCTCCAAGATCTGTAATGAAAATAGCAATGTAAACAAAGCAAAAAAAGATCTCTGCTCTCGGTCTTTTTTTTTTTTTTTCTTTTGATAGCAGTGGGAGACCATTGGTGATTATTTCCCCCAGGTTTTCGTTGTCTTATTTAAACTTCACCTAACGCTTGAGTAGCCATCTTAATTCCATCTCGCGCTTCTGACAGTTGGGCCCACCGTTCTAAACGTTCAGTGTCGTAAACCTAAAACTGACATCTCCCCTCCCATTAGAACTTAGCGCTTAAAAAAAGAGATAAAAATTCTAACCAACAATACCACTACAACCTTTGCTTTGAAGTCTAAGGTTTTTGAGGAATGGTACCTTTATAAAGATCGTGGTTGCCCCCGTACATATTTGTTCTTTCTTCATATCCAATTAAGTGAAAATACTAGTCTTTCCGTAGCCCAACTCCCTAGGCTGGTTGGGTCTAGCTCAGGAGCAGGACGGAAGCAGGAGCCGTTGGATTTTAACAGTTTGATATAATCCTTTTGCACTCTCTCTCCCGCTAGTTGGGGGACGTGGTGTCGGCTACCCGGGGCTTTCCGTCCACGCAGTACCGGAATGAAGGAGTCTGGGAGGGGGTCGGGGAAGGAAAAGACGGAAAAGACATTAAGTAATTGGTTCTCCAAGGTATAAAAATGATATTTAGGGTCTACTCTGAGGCACAGATTTCAAACGCCCGCCCCCTGGGCTGTCTCAGCCCCACCCCCTGCTGTCGTCACGCCGACTTCCACCCGGGCCTCTGCTGATTGGTGGTTAAAGCGCTTGGGTTTTGCTTCCGGGTCTTAGGCTTTGGCCCTGGGAGCAGAGGATTCTGGGGGCTGAGAGTGGCAATGGTATCTGTGTGATCTGCGGAGGTGGTCAGACCTCGGCTAAGGTGAGCTGCAGGACAAGGTGTTTCTTCTGCGGGTGGGAAAGAAAGTTGGGGTCGGAGTCCGCGGCCGGCGGAGGAGCTCCGGAGCAGTAGTCAGGGCTGGTGCTTGCGAAGCTCTTGGGCCCACTGCAGAGAAAGCGGCGCCAAGGCAGCTTTGCCTATGGCTTAGGTGGGCCCGGGGTACTCCCACCGCCTTCCCCCACGGGTGAAAAGACAGCGAGTTCCTGGTGACAGCCCAAGGGCGCGCTCCCGAGATACCACATCGCGAGGTGTGCAGGACGCGGAGGCACCTAGCAGCAGGCAACCCTGTTTCTCCCTCTCTGGACACACGCCTTTACCCTTTATGAAAATCAAGAGAGGTATACCTCTCAAAATCTTCCCATTTCCTTGTTCTTTTGATTGGAGTGGGAGACCATTGTTTTTCCGACGCTAATGGGATTTAGCGATTTGCCAGGTGGTAGGTACTCTTGGTTACCCAGAGCTGAACGTAACATACAGAATGTGTTCCTGATTTTTTGGTTACTAGAATCCTTTGAGAGTGAGTTTCCTGTCTTCTCTGCGTCTCTTAAATTATAACCTTAAAAGGGCTGATTTATATTGTGATGACTTACAGGAGAAAATCAACAAATGGTTGTTAAAATTTTGCCCATGTAACTGTCATTGAATTTTAGCACACTTACCTCCCGGACACTAAGTTTGTCAGTGATTTTTAAGTTTTGTTTTGATTAACTTATTTGTTGTTCTGTGAAGTTTAGAAAAAATGCAAATCTTGGAAGCTTGGGGGAATGTGGTTGAGAATTCTTAAAACTTAAGAGGTGAAACTGTATATTACAAGAAATTGAGCATGTCATGTCCCCTAATTCCAATAATCCTAAAAGGAATATCCCCATTCCACTGATGACAGAAACAAGTTAGGGGACTTGCCCAAGACCTGGCAGCCAGGAGAACAACAGGATCACAAACTTAGATCCTCATGACAGAATTTTTTGTAGTAGTAACTATCTGCAAAGCTATATTCCTTGTTTACCCCTTAGGCCATAGTTTGTTTCCTTCGAACTTGTGTATAGAAAGATTATGCAATTTTGGAGGGATGAGTTTTGAAATTATTTCACAAGGATAGATATTGATGAATAAATTTATGAAGCAAGAATTCTATTGGGAATAACTTAATACTGTTTTTCTTCAGAGCATAAAAGATGACAACAGCAGCCAGGCCGACTTTTGAACCTGCAAGAGGTGGAAGAGGAAAAGGAGAAGGTGATCTGAGCCAACTCTCAAAGCAGTATTCAAGCAGRGATCTTCCCTCTCATACAAAGATAAAATACAGGTAATAAAGACTTTCCAAAGACCACGTCTGTTAAATGGCATGATCATGATATATGATCAAGTTTGAGTTACTGCATGTAACTTAGGTTATCTATTTTTAAAGGAATAGAATGCAACAGAGGGCTTAACAATAAAATTATGCCGTATGATTTTTAAAGTGCTACTAACATTCCTTCCGCAGAAATTGCTATTAACCAGGAATTTCCATATGTGGAGGGAAGAGTACCTAATATTACCTCAGAGAAACTATGCACTTTCAGCACAAGTTAGTGGGATAAATGTTATACTGTAACAAGCTCTTGAGTCTATGTAATGGGAACAAAAATTTAGGACATTTTAATCAATCTGCAACCATATTAAGGAAAGTATGTGATTTGTTTGGGGCTTCTTAAAATATTAGAAATATCACAAGTACTAGTTAGTAACCTTCAGATTAGGTTCTTATCTTGTCCTCTTCTTTGTTTTATGTTTGAGGGACAAAATTGTACTTGTGAATTGAATTGTMTTCCATTCACATGTGATTTTGTTTTCTTGGGCTTAGACAAGTCGTAACATTTTGTCCTGATTTGTTTCCACTTTAGACAAACTACTCAGGATGCCCCTGAAGAGGTTCGTAACCGGGACTTCAGGAGGGAGTTGGAAGAAAGAGAGAGAGCTGCTGCACGAGAAAAAAATAGAGATCGTCCAACCCGAGGTGTCAACCCTGTCCCAAACATTTGTCTCCTAAAGTTATATTGTCCATGGTTTTTCTTTCATGTAGTAATTAGAAAGGGTTCGTATTTTTGTGAGCTTTACTTCATTAAATAATGAGAGATAATGAGGTTTATTCCAATTTCATCTTTTTATCCTTCTATAATAGAAGGAACAGGGTGACCTGGAGATATTCAGCAGCCATCATTTTATTTCAAACCAAAAGTTTTAACTCATTAGAGCAACCAGGCCCTAGGATTTCTGTCTGAGAGATTTTATGTTTTCAGACAGGCAGTGATGCGTGCCTGTATTCCTAGCAACTCTGGAAGCTGAGGCAGGTGAATTTCAAGTTTCAGGCCACCCTCAGCAAAATAACAAAAAGGACTGGGAATATAGCTCAGTGGTAAAGGGCCCTGAGTTAGATTCCCAGTACCACCACTCTCATCCCCCCCAAAAAAGAGATTTAATGTTTTCAGTTTATATAAACTTCACCCTGAATTTCCTGAGGTTGCAGTTCTAATATTAAAATCAGTCCTTTTATTAATATATTTAATATTTACCATCAATATTTACAAAGACTTATTTGCCAGTCACAATAGGTGATCCCTGATGGCATGATGCTTTGAATATGGATTCTTCATACCTATAGGTCCTTAAAACATTATAAGAAATGCAGCACTTGTTTCACTAAGTTAAATAATGTGTGTTTTCCACCAGAACATACAACCTCCTCTTCAGTGTCAAAGAAGCCTCGGCTAGATCAGATTCCTGCTGCCAACCTTGATGCGGATGATCCTCTAACAGATGTAAGTTTTGTTTTCTTTCATTTGAGTATTTTTCTTTGCCGAGGGTTCAAGAACAAGTTTGATATCTAGAGAACTCACTATGAAAGCAGTCTATTAAGGAACGTGCCTTCTTTATATTAAATTCTTTATATTAAACCCTAGAGTTGAGCTTCTGTTTTTATATACACAGGGCACACATTGGGCTCTCTGGAAACATTCCCTGTAGTTATACCCTAGGGCCTTTCCTCATTAGCTATGATCAGATGCATTATGCACATGCTGGTTCCCTCTGTGTTTAGGGAGGAAAGTAATCTAAGCAGAATTTTTTAAAAGTTAGCATATYAATTAAAATTCAGTGGGACTCCATAGTCAGTAGTTTGTGCTTTTCTACAAAACATGAAAAAATGAGTGGCCTTTCATAGATAAGATGTAATCATACACATATGTCAGCAATTAATTCTAGAACTGACTGATGAAGTTATAGTCATTAAAACAAGAAGCTCAGTTATAAGTGTGATTTAATTATTATTCATTTGAAATTATTTTATTGTGAAATTTAATGCTGTTTTTTGCATGTCTGATCATCCTTACTTAATAGCTTAAAATTGCTATAAGTTACATACTATCATTTTGTCTCTCCTAGAGTGAACCCTGTACATACCTACTGTATTTCATTATGAGGTGTTCCTTTTTCTAATTTTAGCCATGTAAATTTGAAAGGTACTTTATTAGGAGTTGACATTTTAGGAAGTATTCTAAGCTTTTTGTGAGACTTTTATTTATTTGGTTGGTTTTTATTTTAATCATAATATTCAAGTGCAGTTATTTTCCCACTAGGAAAATTAATTCTGTCCAAAATATATGGTAAATATAGTTTTTAAGGGACAAAAATTAACATTGTGCATTTTCCTTCCAACATCATGGATAATTACTGCTTTTTACTGTTTTTAGGAGGAAGATGAAGATTTTGAAGAGGAGAGTGATGATGATGATACTGCAGCTCTCCTTGCAGAACTAGAAAAAATTAAAAAAGAACGAGCAGAAGAGCAGGCCAGGAAGGTAAAAATCTAAGGGTTAAATATTTGTATATCCCATYTTCACATGCTAAAATAGGAATATTTTTTATTCAAATAATATCTTCTTATATTAGAAATTTTCCTTACCATATCTAAATATTATGGCACCTGAAGTCCTATAAATCTGATTGTTTTTATGACATTTTAAGGATCCTGGTTATGTTGGAAATTCTAAACAGTTCAGGCATGCTGAATAATACTCCTCAACTTGCTCATATTTACTTGTTTGTTCTTTGTTCAATAGACATTTAGTTAGTGTTAAGTGTCAGAAGAACCAACATGATTAAGATTAGTCTACAAATTTGTCTCTCTTGTCTCCTGCCTAGACACTTGTGAGGCAACCTGTCAGTAGATTTTATACACAATCTATGCCAAGTTATCATACTCTTGTATACCCAGTCTTTCCAGTTATACAGTGGGAGAAAAGAATGCTTACCTCAAAAATTAAGAGATGAAACTGAGGAGGCAAGCAGGAGTCCAAGCATTGGCAGTTTGTAAACCAGTGTTAAAGGAATTGAATTTTGTTCTAAAGGATGAGAAGCCAGTAGAGTTTAGCAGTAGATTGGTAAGAGTGCATATGCATTTTGGAAAGATTACTCTGGCAAAAGTATAGAAGATGGATTGGAAATAATTGAGTGAGGAGGTTATTTCAATACTCCTTATGGGTAATGAAGAGAATCTTAACTTACATGATAGAAATTAGAATTGGTAGAAATAAACAGGTGCTGGGAAAGCTCTCAAGGAGGAGAATTGACCAAATAAAGTGAGTCATTGGTTATGGAAGCAAAGATGACACCCACCACACACACAGTCTTAGTATATATTGGTGCCATATAGTAATACATGGAAAGCAGAAAAATGGATATGTTTAGGCAGAGGGAAAAAAACATGAATCCTATTTTGAACATGGTGAATTTGATACATTAGAAGACATTCAAGTAAAGATGTCTGCACCCATTTTCAGCCAGAGTAGTACAGCTTTTTTTATGGATGTCAGTATAGATTTCATTTGAGCCGTGGGTTATGTTTTTAAAAATAAAAAGCAAGGGGGCAGGTGAGTGGGGGAGAGAAGACACTGATAAAGGTTAATGATAAGAATCTTGGAGTAGATTTGTAAAGTCCATGTTAGTCAGAAGGGTCAGGGAAATTTTCAGGAAAAAAAAATAATATGAGATAGTCTTAGAATTCAGATTGGAAGAAGAAAAGATTTTTTTTGTTGGTGATGGCAGTGGTAGTTTTGTGGGTTCTTTTGTTTGTTTGAATGCTACGAATCGAACCCAGGGCCTCATACATGCTAGACAAGCACTCTACTTCCAGTCCCAAGAAAATTATTTGCAAATAAACTTCTCATTAAAGTTTGACATAGGAAAGCATAATTCCTATTAATAGCTTACAGTTTTTATCTAATGTTTAAAAATAAATATCAAGAACATTACCAATATCACTCGTCTGCCACTAGAGGGCAGTTGTTCCAAATTCTTTGAGGTTCGCTATTCTCTGTATCTAGACTGAAAGAACTTTAAATGCTTTTGGTTGATGTTTAGGCAGGATAAATATTTTAGATGAAAGATATGGGAGATTCATCTAATCTCTTTGTGAAAAATGTGTTGGTATTTCTTGAAGTCACATGACAATTTTATCCCCCTAAGTCCCTGTTTTTCCATTCTATAAACTGTTTTTTGAGGTATCTCAAAGTAACATTTTCAAACTAATTAACCTATGTCAGGGTTAGTAAACTTTGTGTAAAAGGTCAGATACTAAGTATTTTGAACTGCCTTGTCATCAGCCTGTGCATCCTCTGTTGCAACTGCTCTGCTGTTGTAGCACAAAAGCAGCGTATGCTCCAATAAAATTTCATTCTCATAAATAGCAGGAAAGGGATTGTTTAGGTTTGATCTGCAGGCTATCTTACTGCTACCTTTTGTGCCTAATATTTGATGGAAGAAGTTGGTGCTTTTTTCCCCTCCAGTGCTGTATGTGGCAATCAAGTAACCAAAGGAAATAATATTGCAAATATTAAAAGACTGGAATCTTATATGTTAACACATTATTATTATAAATTTCATACATTATATACTTGAGCTCCTAATTTTTATAGCATATCAAAGAAATGTCTTTCACTTTTAGCATCCATGTTATTTGTTAAAAAAAAATTGGTAATTTTTAGAAAGCTATTTATGTTCTAATCTTCCAGGGGATGGTTCCTGACTTGCTTAAGATCTGGTCCAAAGCAGTTTTTCTGTTTATTTTCCTAAAAATCTCACCTGCCAGTTATTTGTTCTGATAAAAATGAAATACATTGTTTATATTTGCATATTAAAATGAATAATCAGTAACATGTATGGAAAATTGGATTAATTTTAAAGTAACTTCTGAGCAATTGTTTTTTTCCCTTGATCTACTAAGTTAACAATTTCTGTCATCCTCAAAATACAACAAAATGGGATTTTTATTTGGTTTAAGATAATATGTTTCAGGCAAATCTAGAAGTTGCAGCTAAAGATTTGGACACTTTATGTTCCTGGTTCTGAAAATGAAACTGCAGGTGATTTGAGTTTGAAGCTAAAATAAAATGAAAACAATGTTATAACTAGTGAAGGATAAGAGGTATAAAAATAGAAAGTGGGTGACAATAAATCCTAAAAACAAAGTGGATACACTTCAGGAATGTTGTACATGGTTGTTTGTCTTATTTTAGGAGTTACTCCTTAGATATTAATAATAATTTTATCATTAATCCTAGAGATGTAAGCTTACATTGTTAGTAATTTAAAATGGAAGTATTTTTATCAGTTTGTCTGTGGCCCTTTAAATAGCTTTGCTAAATGTCTTTTTTATGTTTAATATGTTCTTAAATTATAAATGTAAAACAAAATTTAAAGTAATTCGTTTTATATGTTCTTCAAAAGAAAACAGACTTTAATATGCATCACAAAGCTTTTCAGAATTGGGAGATACTAATGACTGTATGATAGCAAGTATGAAATATTTATAATAAAGATGCCAGATTTTTTTTTTTCATGAGCTTTTCTGTTATCTTAAGAATCAAAATAGAAAGAAAACTACCTTGATGCATATCTTTCCTCTTTAAACAATGCTAACAGTCTCTCTCTTTTTTTCTTTAATGAGCTAATATAAGAAAATTGCATCTTCCTCTTTCATTGCCAGGAACAAGAACAAAAAGCTGAAGAAGAGAGAATTCGTATGGAGAACATTCTGAGTGGAAACCCTCTTCTTAATCTCACTGGCCCTTCCCAGCCTCAGGCCAACTTCAAAGTTAAAAGAAGGTACTATAAGTAATGGGTTAGAATTCTATATACAGATTATGAGTTGGATAGCAAAGTATATTATGTAATGCTTCTAAAACTCCGCCTTCCACTGATATTTTTCTCTCTCTAATTTTCGAGTAATAAAAGAAAGAAAATAAAATTTTCAGCAGATGTTTATAACCAGCTACATATCAAATAATGATCTAAACACTAGGGTAAGAGTAATGAACTAAGCAGTCTTGGAAACCTTACAAAGCTTATGTATATTAGGTACGTGTGTCCTTGGTCCCCAAGACTGCTCTTCACATTCAGATATTCACTAGAAGGATTCAGGGGACTTAGCTTATAATTATATTCATGGCTAACATAGAAAAGATATGAAACCAGGTTGGTTTTTTGTTTGTTTGTTTTTGTATTTGGTACCAAGGATTAAACTTGGGTGCACTGGACCACTGAGCCACATCCCCAGCCCTATTTTATATTTTATTTAGAGACAGGATCTTGCTGAGTTGCTTAGCATCTCGCTTTTGCTGAGGCTGGCTTTGAACTCACTATTCTCCTGTCTCAGCCTCCCAGCCACTGGGATTGCAGGACTTATGAATTAAGTATTACTTTGTTCTTTTGTTGTGTCAAATGATGTGCACGTTGAACATCTTTCTGTGTAATGACTAAGCTTTACAATGCACATGGTATTCTTGTCTCCTAATAAAAACATTATAAGGCATTTTATTTTCATTTTTCCTTTCAGGTGGGATGACGATGTTGTGTTCAAGAACTGCGCAAAAGGTGTAGATGATCAAAAGAAAGACAAAAGATTTGTAAACGATACACTGCGATCTGAATTTCACAAAAAATTCATGGAGAAATATATTAAGTAGTACAGTTTTATGTGCTTAATTAAAGACTGTAAAATGTTAAGGATCATTTTGATGTTTTTTTTTTTTTTCCTTTTCCGCCGTCTAAATGGTATATAATAGACTTCCCTAATTTTAAGTTCCAAAGTACCTTTTTCTTTATTGAGACCTTATTGATAATGGACTTGGGAATAGGTTTAACTCCGTTTCTATTCTCTGAATGTTTTCAATCATGTTTTTTTTTTTTTAATATGGGAAAAAAGAACCTGCTTGTAATAAATGATTTTAATCTAAATAACTGAATCTGTGTCCCCAGCTTTTCATTGTGATGTATGCAGCTTATAAAATGTTGCATCATGTTTTTCAGAAAAATTATATGTTGTTTCTTTATGCATTAAATTTTTCCTTTATTCTCTTCACTGGTTTAAAATCTATGTGTTTCCGCTTTGTAACTCAAGTTTCTTTCACCAAAGAAAAAATTCTTAATCATTTAGGACTTCTTAATATTTTTGACATGTGTTTTTAAGAGTATGATGAAAGATTAAAGGGATTCCATTTTGGACCACATGTTGGAATAGAAGTGTCATCAATTAGTAAGTGGCACCCCAGGTTTACATCTAGGAAGGCACAAAGTACCTCACTTGTGCAGGTACTCATTTCTTTTCTTTTGGCCATGACAGGAGCTCTAAGTATTCCAAGAAAAGCATATGGCACTCACTTTGTCCTGGATGCTGAACTGCTATGTTTCTCTTGAATGAGCTAAGAGTTTGGATGTATAGTTTATGCAAAGCTGAGGAGTTTCAAATCAAACATAAAACTTTTGGAAATAGAATTTGTTATGTTGGAGGCCGTATCTGTAGAAGTGGGAGAGAGAGATAGCTAGTCCTTACTAAAAGCTTTACTCCTAGAAAATGAATTTTTCCTAAACCCGAGCTATGTTGAAAGGTGCCACTTTGATAGAAATTTAGAACCAGAAATTGAGCCTCACACAGATAGAGATGACCCCCCTTTTTGGGGGGAGGTGGAATTGGACTTTATAGAAATTAAGAACTTATTAAAAAATATCAATAGGTAAATGAAGAAAGTTGCAGGCAAGGATAATATAAATATCTGTCCATCCATCTGACAAAGGAGTTCTATCCAGAAGGTATAAAGATCATATTATAAACCAATTAAGACAAAAAAATATATTTTTAAAGAATGGGAACAAAAGAATATCCAAATGGCTATTATGCATATGAAAAGATATCAATATCACTATTCATTAGGCAAATTAAAATCATGAGATGCTATTTTATATCCAACCAGAACATCTCAGCTTTATTTTTTTAGAATTATTTACTTTATAAAGTTTTTAAATTTGCTTTAATTAGTTATATATGACAGTAGAATGTATTTATGCACTTTGATATACATAGATAGAATGTAATATCTTTCCTATCCCCACATCCCCTCTCCTTCCCTCCCATCACTTCCTTCTACCTAACCTATTCTTCCCTAGTGCCCCACCCCTGCCTTATTGTGAATTAGCATCCGCATATTAGAGAAAACATTTGGCCTTTGGTTTTGTGGGATTGGCTTATTTCACTTACCATGATATTYTCCAACCATTTACTGGCTAATGCCATAATTTTTACTCTTCTTTAAAGCTGAGTGATATTCCATTGAGTATATGTACCACATTTTCTTTATCCATTCATCTATTGAGGGACACCTAGATTGGTTCTATAGTCTAGCTATTGTGAATTGAGCTGCTGTAAACATCTATGTGGCTGTGTCACTATAGTATGCTGATTTTAAGTCCTTTGGGTATAAACAAAGATTGGGATACCTGGGTCAAATGGTCCCATTCCCAATTTTCTGAGGAATCTCCATACTGCTTTCCATAGTGGTTGCATCAGTTCGCAGTCCCCCAGCAATGTATGAGTATACCTTTTTCCTCACATCCTSAACACTTACTGTTGTTTTTATTCATAATAGCTGCCATTCTGACTGGACTGAGGTAAAATCTTAGAATAGTTTGATTTGCATTTCTCTAATTGCTAGAGATGATCGACATTTTTTCATGTTTGTTGATTGATTGTATATCATCTGAGAAGTGTCTTTTCAGGTCCTTAGCCCATTTATTGATTGGATTATTTGGGGTTTTTTTTGGGGGGGGGGCGGTGTTGGTGCTTAGCTTTTTGAGTTCTTTATAGACCCTAAAGATTAGTGCTCTATCTGATGTATGAGGGATAAAGATTTGCTCCCAAGATGTAGGCTCTCTATACACCTCACAGATTGTTTCTTTTGCTGAGAAGAAACTTTCTAGTTTGAGTCCATCCCATTTTTTAATTCTTGATTTTAATTCTTACGCTAAAGGAGTTTTATTGAGAAAGTTGGGGCCTAATTCCACATGATGGAGATCAGGGCCTACTTTTTATTCTGTTAGATGCAGGTCTCTGGTTTTATTCCTAGGTCCTTGATTCATTTTGAATTGTTTTGTGCATGATGAGAGAGGGGGGGTTAATTTCATATTTTTTTTCAGTTTTCCCAGCATCATTTGTTGAAGAGGCTATCTTTTCTTCAGTGCATATTTTTGATGCCTTTGTCTAATATAAGATCATTGTAATTTTGTTGGTTAGTCTCTGTGTCCTCTATTCTGTACCATTGGTCTACCGGTCTGTTCTGGTGCCAATACCATGCTGTTTTTGTTATTATTGCTCTGTAGTATAGTTTAAGATCTGGTATAGTGATGCCACCTGCTTCACTCTTCCTGCTAAGGATTGCTTTAGCTATTCTGGGTCTCTTATTTTTTCCAGATGAATTTCATGATTGCTTTTTCTATTTCTATGAGAAATGTCTTTGGGATTTTAATCAGAATTACATTAAATCTGTATAGTGCTTTTGGTAGTATGGGTATTTTGGTAATATTAATTCTGCCTATCCAAGAGCAAAGTAGATCTTTTCATCTTCTAAGGTCTTTTTGATTTTTTTTTCTTTAGGGTTCTGTAATTTTTATTATATACATCTTTCATCTCTTTTGTTAAGTTGATTCCCAAGTATTTTATTTTATTTTTTGAGGCTATTGTAAATGTGGTAGTTTTCCTTTCTGAGGATTTGTCACTGATATACAGAAATGCCTTTGATTTATGTGTGTTGATTTTATATCCTGCTACTTTGCTTAATTCATTTATTAGTTCTAGAAGTTTTCTGGTGGAACTTTTAGGGTCTTCTAGTTATAGAATCATATCATAAGCAAATAGTGCCAATTTGAGTTCTTCTTTTCCTATGTGAATCCCTTTAATTTATTTCATCTGTCTAATTGCCCTGGCCAGTGTTTCAAGAATTATGTTAAATAGAAGTGGTGAAAGAGGGCATCCCTGTCTTATTCTAGTTTTTAGAAATTGCCTTCAATTTTTCTCCATTTAGAATGATGTTGGTCTGTGACTTAGCATAGATAGCCTTTGTGATGTTGAGATATATTCCTGTTATCCCTAATTTTTCTAGTGTTTTGAACATGAAGGGGGGCTGTATTTTATCAAAAGCTTTTTCTGCATCTATTGAGATGATCATATGATTTTTATCTTTAAGTCTATTGATGTGATGAGTTACATTTATTGATTTCCTTATGGTGGACCAAACTTGCATCCCTGGGATGAATCCCACTTGATCATGGTGCACGATGTTTTTAATATGCTTTTGTATTCAATTTTCCAGAATTTTATTGAGAATTTTTGTACCTGTGTTCATTAGAGATATTGGTCTGAACTTTTCTTTTTTGAATGTCTTTGCCTAGTTTTGGAATCAGAGTTATATTGGCCTCATAGAATGAGTTTGGAAGTGCTCCCTTCTTTTCTATTTCCTGAAATAAATTGAAGAGTATTGGTATTAGTTCTTCTTTAAAGGTCTGGTAGAACTCAGTCATATATTTATCTGGTCCTGGGATTTTCTTGGTTGGTAGACTTCTGATGGCATATGCTATTTCGTCACTTGAAATTGATCTGTTTAAATCATGTATATCATCCTGATTCAATTTAGACAAATTATATGACTCTAGAAATTTGTCGATGCTTTGATATTTTCTATTTTGTTGGAGTACAAGTTTTCATTAATTTCCAATTATCTTCTGTATTTCTGTAGTGTCTGTCATGGTATTTCTTTTTTCATCACATATGTTAGTAATTTGAGTTTTCCCTCTCCTTCTCTTCTTTAGTGTGGCTAAGGGTCTGTCAATTTTATTTATTTTTTCAAAGAACCAACTTTTTGTTCTGTAAATTTTTTCAATTGTTTCTTTTGTTTCAATTTCATTGATTTCAGCTCTGATTTTAATTATTTCCTGTCTTCTGCTACTTTTGGTGTTGTTTTGTTCTTTTTCTAGGGCTTTGAGATGTAAGATTAAGTCATTTATTTGTTGACTTTTTCTTTTAAGGAATGAACTCCATGCAATGAACTTTCCTCTTAGAACTGCTTTAATAGTGTCCCAGAGATTTTGATATGTTGTGTCTTGTGGGAGGCTGACTAGCACATGACTGTATCTGTCTCCCCTTCTGACCTATGTGGCATTGTTGGTCACTCTGACAATTGCCCCAATCTTTAGGGTGCAAGTGACTGTGTCTTCGTGTATGGGCATGCCTTCCTATAGCCCCATGGGTGGAGCTATGCTCACCTGTTCCTTTGTAATATTACCACTTGCCCTGTTTGGGATAGAATGTTCCATGGAAACACCTTTTGTGTATCCCCTTCTCTTACTGTGCCCTTGGGTGTGGCCTACCTAGATGTCAATCAACCTGCTGACAGCAGACATCATGAAGCTAGACTTAGCCCCTTGAAACCTGACCCCTTGCCTCATTTGAATAGCTTCTCCTCAATAAAAGGGGTCAGCACGTGTGTGTGTGTGTGTGTGTGTGTGTGTGTGTGTGTGTGTGTGTGTGTTCTCTCTCTCTCTGCGGACCCTTAAGTCAGAGGAGCCATTACAGCACCCCCAAAGAAAAAGGCATTTCTGTCTCTTGTGTGGTTATTTCTCACAGCCCAATTAGCCTAGTTCCCCTGGAGTGGCCCCTGAGTGTTTTAGTCGTGATCAACCCAGCAAATGGAGTCCCTGGGTGGGCAAAATGCCACAGTATCTGTCTTCTCGTTCACCTCTAAAATTTTTTTATTCTCTTCCTTGATGTCTTCTGCAACCCATTGTTCATTCAGTAGCATATTATTTAGTCTCCAGGTGTTGGAGTAGCTTGTATTTCTTATTATATCATTGATTTCTAATTTCATTCCATTTGATCTGATAGAATGCAGGATAGTATCTCTACTTTTTTATAT